AGGAGAAAATTCAAAGAAGCCGCATATATGTTGTCCAACAACGCATTAAGCCAAGCTAGCGTAGAGATACGCAACATATGGAAACCTCTAATCAAGCGGAACACGACCAACTTCCGCCAAACGGTCAGCTTCCGCTAAAACCGATAAAGCGGAGAGAGAGAAGAGTGGGTAGGTGAAAGCACTCGAATGACCTATAAATGGTCAGATCTCGGAGGAATAAGTCCAGTAATCACCCGAAGACGATTGTGGATTCTAACAATCGAAACGTCGTGACGTAACTTGGTTTGGAATCTTTTAATTTTCATTTCTTGTTAATATTTTTTTTTTAATTTTCATCTCGTATTTAATAGTTCATTTTTTGATTTTTTGGTTGTTGCTTGTATTTTATTCCACTGTAATTTCAGTTTTTTTGCTTAATATAATTGTTATTTTTCAGATAGTCTTTATACATTTTTTACAAATTTATATTATATTAGACAATGGAAGTCCGAACTAATGAAATGCACCACGAAACATTGTCAACTACCTTCAAACAATAGGAAAAAATAGGAAAACAAAAAAACCAGCAGGAAAATTTACCTACATGACAATTCGTTGTAATTCATTTACTACTATGTGTTGTAGTAAGTGTAAAAAAAGGGTTGCTCAAGTTGAAATAAAAAAAAACTATAAATTCTCATCACGTTATTAATACCTGTTCGATTCATAGTAATTTTTAATTCAAAATTTCAATTTAAAAAAACAAGTCCTTTATGGAATATTTATTTCTTGTTCTTCATTTGTGAGAGCTTATCAACTATAGATGGTACTTGCTTTACCAATTCTTCTACATTCAATTTGAAGTCATTATCGGCCCAGTAATGTTTCAATTCAGTCATTACAAGTCCCATAAACCTGCCACTCTCGATCCCAAGTTCTTTTAAAATATTTCCACTCACAGGAAACTTGGGAAGTTTCCAATTACCTAACTCCTCCCAATGAGGAGAATTATTATATTTCAAAACTTCAATCGACATGCTCCTTGTGTCAGAAGGCTTACATTTTGATTTTACAATCAATTGTTGGAATGGCATCAAAGGTTTAGGATGCAATTTTGGTTCCCTATGTTCAACTACAAAAAGAGCCAAGTCCCTTTCATAGGCCGAAAGTTTTAGCCTTGCATTCAGTTCTTTAGCATCATCTATACTGTTTAATAAAGATGCCAGTAGTGTAATGGGATGTAGTTTCAGATGACCACTTCGACTCCATACCCTTTTCAATTCTTCTACGTTTGGATTTGCAGGTAATCCTGAAAAGAAAGTTAGGGATAACATAACTTATTGCTCTTTGTTAAGAAATAATATTTACCTATGTAAGTGGCTAAATTATTTTCCACAACAGTAACCATTAGATCTCCGGCAAAATTTCCCTCCAGAATTTTTTTGAGCTCAACCCAGATTCTTTCACCTGAAATTTTAGCCAAACCTTCACCATTCTCATAAATAGCCTTGAGGGTAGTCTCATCATGTTTATTTGCTTCTAAAGCTATTTTTCCATAAAATCTATGACAATAAAAAAAGATGTTTCAAGACAACCACTGCCATCACAACCAATGAAAATATATAATTTTAGGAAAAGTAAATATTTGGTATAGTATAAAATGGTTATGCTAATGTCTGTGACATGTACTTCTATGAGCTTTTCTTTGGCAAAAATGGACCTCTAAAATAATCAATATTTTGATATATTCCATTTCTGAAAAGATGTGTAGTGCCCTACAATTTCCTTTAAACGGAGTATGCTAGATGTTGCTAGGAGATATTTTTGTTTTGAGGATTTCTTTAGAAAAATAATAAAAAACTTCAATCGAAAACGTATTTAAAAGTGGTCCAAAAACTACAGATGTTTCACCGAAATTCGATGTGAAGCTATCCACATCCATATATAGAACAAAAAAAATTATGACACCATAATTTTCGCTTTTTAAACAGATTTTAATCCCAACACCAAACCGGTATTTTTAACACCTCGATACGTGTTTCAATCACCAAGTGATCATCTTCTAGAGGAAGATTAAACTAAATTTAGTTCACCAAGTGATCATCTTCAAGAGGAAGATTAAACTAAATTTAGTTTAACCTCCTCTTCAAGAGAAAGATTAAACTAAATTTAGTTTAACCTTCCTCTTGAAGATGATCATTTGGTGATTGAAACACGTATCGAGGTGTTAAAAATAACGGTTTCGTGTTGGGATTAAACTCCAGTAATATTTCCAGTAATATTAATTACTACACCAAATTTCCAAACAGTGCATCACAAGTATGGTCTCTGAAATTAACCCTTACATAGGAAATAATTGGTGATCAACTCTATACATGAAGTAGTACCGTATTCTGCTCTTGAAATTAATTTCAGCAGTTGAAAAGAAACCTAATGACACATCCACCATTATATGTTTTTGCCGCAAGAAAGAACCATTATCATATACTCCATATAGTTTGTAAAGCCTCCGGTGAAGGTAGTTTT